CAGAAGTGATTTGCCATTGCCTCCTTCCTAGAGCTGGGAGAAAGTGACTGGCCCAAGGTTCACCCAGCTGGCTTTATGCACAAGGCGAGACTAGAACTCATGGTCTCCCAGTTTCTAGCCAGATGTCTTAACCACTACACCAAACTAGCTCTCTGGATTCTTTTTATTGCTGCATAAATACTGTGTACTTTTCTTCAAATTAATGTAAATATTCAAACTGAAGACCAAACAATATGATTTATAAAGTATTTTCATTGCAGGAGACTGGGTGGAGGACCAAAGACATGGAAATGGAGTTTACTATTATGTAAATGGGGACACATACACTGGAGAGTGGTTCAATAATTATAGGTTTGTTTCTCCTAATTTCAGATTTCTGTTTTACTACTTATTATTAGTAAATGTAGTTCCCCTCCAGAGATGTTGAACTACAGTTTCTATCATCTTTTGACATTATGGCTGTTTGTATAATAATTGTATTTATTGTGGAACTAATAGACTGTAGTAGATTTATATGTTCTGAAAGATTTTCTAACTAGTAGTAGCAAATGCTGACATAGCAATCTCATTTAACAACAACAAAAAGCCTTGATTCTAACAGAAACATTTATCTTTAGTTATCTTCTTTTGTTTTACTGTCTCTTGGAAATCTTGGTGCTGAAAATGATTATACTTGATTATGATTACAGTTGTTACTATTTTACACCATTAGTCATCCAGAGAACAGTGTTATAGGACAGCCATATAAATATAGTAAACAAAGAAAGGCTATTTTTAGCTGAAAATCAGTATACATTACCTGTTGCAGCAACCCACTGGTTTGCATTCTTATTCAAGAAATATATACATTTCAGTGCAGGCAATTTAATTTAAATCAATGATTTAAACCAGATTTTCTTGGTACTTGATTATTTAATTTGCCTTGATTTAAATTAATTCATGCTATGACAGTGTGAGGAAGATTGGATTCAGGATTCAGGATAAAGGTTTCTTCTGTCTTAATAAAAAACAACTTTTTTTTTCTCCAATAGACATGGGCAAGGTACCTATTTCTATGCATTAACTGGCTCTAAATATGTTGGCACTTGGGCAAACGGGCAACAAGAAGGATCTGCTGAACTTATTCACCTAAACCACAGATTCCAGGGAAAGTTTGTGAATAAAAATGTATGTATGTAAGAAAATATATTGATTTCTGAAAATTTTACACTGGGCATAGAAAATAAGCCTTTCAGCTTCTTTTGTATCTAACCCCATTTCAATAATGATAGTTCTGATATCCAGAAACCCATTTTGTACAGAGGACTCCAGTGTTTGCCGAGACACTCATGTGAACAAGTACTTTTCGATCACTTCATTTGAGGGCAGTTCTATTCATTCACAAGGAGACCTTAGAGAGATTTTGATTAGCTAGAATTTGTTTTATTTTGATAGTATATTAATTTCATAATGGCTTAAGCAAAAGCAACTAAGAATCTTGACCATATAAAAAATTAACACATTTATTATGGCATAATGTTTGGGGGCTTCAGATTATCAGAGGCATGAAGCGTGCAGATGAACACATACTGTATAGAAAAAATGTAAAAATGAAGTTAAATGAAAATGAAAGATTTCATGAACAACAGTAACCATCTTCACGTCAAGAGCAACAGACCCTGCAAGGTTGAAATGTTTTTTCACTTATTTCTGAATATATTCCTTTCTGATTTTTTTTTTGCCTAGAAATTGAACTGTTTATCTTTATACAGCACTGAAGGGGACTGCTGATAGATGCCATGTATGGTACAGCGTAACTGTGGGAAAATTTTGTTTTTAAAATATGGTACTGTCAGAATACTACTAATATTAATAATATATTATATTATTGATAATATATTATGTATAATATATATATTATTATATTATATTATATTGTATAATATATAATATGATATATAATATACTATAATATATAATATATTAATAATAATAATAATAATCCAGGAAAGGCACCCCTTCATGGATCACTGCCTTGTCGTGGCGAAGGGGCTTACGTAACTCAGTGAAGCCATGAGCTATACCGTGCAGGGCCACC